CCACAATTCTATTTCTGGTTCGACGTTGTTTCGTCAAAGCATGGTAAAAGTTCGTATTAAGATCCCCAGCCGTGTTCCACAAGTTCCTACTTTTTTGTTGCCAATAATCCTCTTCATCCTTGTCTGCCTCTTGTAATTTGCTGGAAACCTCCATAATTTTCTCGTGGGTTCTGTTATTATCTGATTGAACCTCTTCCAGTGCCTCTTGTAATTCACTGATCTTCTCTTTCCCAAATGGAGGATTGTTCTTCCTCTAATTTGCAATTTCATGGAGACAATTGCTGATTTTTGTGACAAAATCTTCAGCCTCATCATCCCTCTGCCTTTCCCAACCTCTACTAATAAAATCCAAAAAACCATCTCGACCAATCCACCTTTTATCAAAACGAAACTTTCCCCTCCGTTTGGGTATCTTATCCTCCAGGAAAGTCATTACTGGGCGATGATCCGAACTCACCATTTCCTGGTATCCAGTATATGAACACAGGAATAAAGTATGCCACTCCTCATTAGCTAAAGCACAGTCCAACCGGCATCGTACTATCTCTGTTTCTCTTATGTCCTGCCAGGACATTTGATTTCCGCGAGCCGGGAATTCCAGAAGCTTGGTATTTCTGATCATGTTATTAAAAGTTAAAAAAAGATGCCGCACTTCGTAAATAACCTCTTTCTTTTTCATGATTCCCCGTTATCTCGATATTCCTCCTCAACACTCTGTGTGTATCTCTGTGTACAAGTCTGATAATACCAATAAATTAAATAATAACAATCCACTTTTAAACTCCATAAGTTCACATTCCTTAGAAACCCGTCCACCCATAACAACGTAGAAAAAAATACAACTATGGAGGAGCCACATACATCCATATCAACCAACTCAAAATTCCAAAAGCAACGATAACCGTGATCTACACCCATCCTTGATCCTCTAGAAAACGTAATACTAGCAACACCTTTAGTCATAACATCATGATTAACCGCTTCCACAAGAATCACCCATGATTTCAATAGAAAAAGAAACTGAATCCAGAATCACTTCCCCAACCATACGTCAAGGCCCCTCAAATGTTTCACCACCACACTCAAGCCATCATCACGTGATATAAGTCCTTCACCACGTTTATAGCTAGGACCCAACTCCAAGAAATTTTTGGCCTCCATCGAGGGCCTGCTACTCCTCCCCCCCATCGTGGTCCCTTTAGATACGAGCTTTAGAGAACCCATATGCCACTTCCTCTGAACCTCCCTTTCCATCGTTTCACTCATGCTCTGGTTTGATGAGACCAGTCCTGCAAGATGACCAGATAACCCTCTCCCTAGTGATGATAAACGTCTCTTCTCCAGTTTTCTAGTCCACCTCCCTCCCATTATATTGAAATTTGTATCACATCCAATATTTAAACCAGTGAACCTTTTCAATAATTCATAATAACAGGACTAGTAAACCAAACAACCAGTTTTATTCTAATAATACTGAAACAAAACATGCAAAAATAATAAATTCAAAATACTCAGAGATAACATGAAACACCAATCAAACCTGTTCCAATAGATTATTAAGAGAACAGAAATTAAACTTAAGACACCAAAACCCCAATACTCCCATCCTACAAAAGATATCGCACATGAAACACCAATCAAACATGCTCCAAGAGATTATTAAGAGAACATAAATTAAACTTAAGATACCAAAACCCCAATACTCCCATCCTACAAAAGATAAAGTATTTAATTTAAATTTTCTTATAGGAGCAGTGCAGACATGTTTGGTATAACTCCTTTTTGAGTGTATAGACAAACCAAACGGTTTAAATCTAACAGAATTGGTAATGGTGCTAATTAAAATGATTTAGTTAAGTTAATGCCGCATTGCCATGTAAGCACGTTTTTATAGCATAATTTTATGTGGAATTAAGTCACATTTGACTCATCAATACATGTCATCTTGGCCATGAAATAACATTTTTATACCAATCAATATAATATTTTCAATTAAAATTGTTCTCAATTAATATTATGATAAAATTAAGTAATTTATCTAGTAATGATTTTAGTTTATTCACTTAGCAAAAAAAATTCATACTGTTTTCTTTTTTTCTTTTGTCGATCGCTACGATATTGGATTCTTAAATCGTGATGTGTGAATGATTGCCACGTTACGTAGCAAAAAGAAGTTACTCAGTTTTGTCTTATACATTTAAAAAAAGTCCAGTCTGTTTCCATTTGATACGGATAGAGTTCAAAAACTCGAGAGTGAATATGAACAGAATCGGACAGTTTCAATTTAATTCAAAAAGTGTTTTAAAAATATTTATTTAAAAAGAAAGAAAAGGACACTCTAAATCTCTGGCGTCAATGATTACATGCACTGAAAACCATAAAGATAACGCTCACTTTTACCACCTGATAATTATTAGACAGTTAAGATAATCACAAGTTAATTAAGGATCCTAAATTCACATTTTTATTCTTTTCGAACCAGAGTAACAACTTTTTGATAAATGGTTTCAGTTAACAATATTTTTGGATAGCTGATATTTAATCAAACAAAAGATTACATAAAATATTGACTAATGAGTAGGAAAACACTAGAATTCGTCTTTAAGCAGTAACAATTACCTTCTTCTTTTTTTTTTTTTTGTATTTTCTAATTTAAAGTTGTTCTTCATCACCCAAATAAACATTCACTAGTATTAAATATTGTCTAGTGATTTCAAATTTATGTACAACTAGGGGCTTGAGTCTTTTCCTGTACATACATATAAATATATATATATATATATATATATATAAATAAATATATATATATATATATTTCTCCTTCTCCTATATAATTTTTTTAAGAATAACTATTATATTTCATTTCTAATATTGTGAAAAATTTACATAAACATATTATAATCACTTTGGTTTGAATTTTTATTACTGTATTTTTTTTCAAATATGTTATGTTGAAAATAAAACATATCCTTCTAAACTTTTGTGTTTGTAGTCAAATTTGTTTTATTAAAAGTATAAAATTGATAAAGTAAATTTATAAAATTTATTATTTTAATTAAATTACTTTTTAAAACTTATAGAAAATTATGGTAATAAAGTACAACTGTTATTTCTGAGAAAAACTAAGATTACAAATATTGTTCAATTAACTATGTAATAATTAAATATCTAAAAATACAGTGTTTTAAGTAAAATATAAATTCTGAAATGTATTTTATTATTGGCTGAATTATGTTTAGATGAATAATTAATAATTTCGATTTAAAAATATAAAAAAATCATTTTTTTCTTAATCTATGTGAACAATCCTAAAACGACATCTAATAAAAACAGAGGAGATACTTAAATTGGCAATATTTAAATATCATGGAAAATCCCAATACTCTAAAATATCAAATACTTATTCACATCTTATCGAAGATTTTAGTCAAAATATAGCTTCAAATGATTTATTTCTAAGTATTCACATTTTTTCACTTCAGCTCTTTTATCAATGGGTTAACTTGACAATTCAGTAACATTACACTTAATTTGGTTTTCGATTAACATATACTACATCCGTTTCATATTAAGTATCGTTGTAAAATAAAACTTTTGTTACATAATAAATTTTGTTTTAGAAATTTCAATGCAAATTTTAGTAATTTTAAATGTCATACGACTCTTTGTCTATTTTTTTTTATTAGCTAAAACATGGTTATATGTAGGGTTAATGATGTTTTTATTTAGAAATATTTAGAATTAAATTTATTTTTTAATCTGTGTGTGTAAATCTAAAACGACACTTAAAATGATACGGAGTGGATATTTTCTTAAAAGCAACTCATTTTCCCAGTTACGTCATACAACACAACGCGGAAAGAAAAAGTTTCAAGAATGTAACGTATATTTTTATATGTATCTAAAATAGATTTTATAATTGTATTGCATGTGTCAAAAGTTTTTATAAAATTAAATGAATACTTTCAAAAGAAAAAAAGATTAGGATGAGGTATATACAAGTAAATACTCTAAATTCTATTATGTCATATGTAACAAACTTTTATCCAAAAAAGCTTAAATACATAGCTTTTCCACAAATACATATATACAAGTGAAGAAACTATGGAAATGTTTTGAAATAAAAATATTAAGACCAACAAACTAACTAATGGTATATCATAATAAAATAAATATCAACGATATAATAAGTAAACTAAAAGTATCTATAAAATAAGTAAACATAATTTTCCAACTATTTCTTGTATATTCATAAAAACTTGTGTGGTATTTTTAAGAATTTCCCTAGCAAATATGTCTTCAGAAATTGAATAGTTTTATCCATATTTATCCAAAATAATACTACAAAAATTGGAAACTTGGAATGCAGTAATCAGAAGTTTAATATTTAATTCTCAATTTATTAAATATATATTTAAAATATTTCGTAAAGTGTATATTATAACATTTATAAAAATACACTTGATACACATCTCTATTGTGATATTAATTTGTGTGCTTTCGTTTGTCCTTGAAGTAATTTTTTGTCAATAGTAAGAAAATATGTGAGTTAAATCCGATAATAAACAACATTAGCACAAACCACAAAAGTTATGAAATTGGGCTAATATCTTGATTTGGTGTTTTTAATATTAATTAACTAAATATATTAAAAACACGTATTTGATTTATTATAGTTTATTTAATCAATATATCAATATTTTAGCTGTAAAAAAATTTAGTACTTTTTTCTTTTCTTAAGAACTTCGTAAAAAGGCAAAAGGATAAACGTTTTAACGTATATAATTTTTGATTTTGAGTTCTTAGTAACGCCTTCCTGTTATGATTGTATTTTGGATCTTTCCTATGAATTCACTTAACCTTTTATATATATATGGTCTCTTAGTTTTCTTTCTTTCACCATCTTTAAACACTTCTTTCTCTCTTTGTATAAGACATTCATAAAAGCACCATAAATACACCAAAGAAAAAAAAAAGGTAAAATGAGCATCCAATTCAATATGACTAATGTTCAAGAGTTGGGTCAAGAGGGGTTTATGTGGGGAATTTCTAGTTCTGATGATTCTGGAGTCGGTTGTAGAAGAAACGAGAAGCAACTACCTCTACCACAACCTTCTATTCCGTTAGAAATTCCGATCTCGACTGATAAGAAGAATGCAAAAGGAAAGAAAAGGACGAAACGAAACGGAAAAATTCATGGTGAAGATTCACCTGATCATGAAATACATATATGGACAGAGAGAGAAAGGAGGAAGAAAATGAGAGACATGTTTTCTAAACTACATGCTTTGCTTCCCCAGCTTCCTCCCAAGGTACACACAATTTAGTAGCAATAACATATTTGATATAGTGCATGCGATCGATTTATTTCTTCATTCCTTTACTAACAATAACAATCACTATATTTCATCAAGTCCCCAAGTTATATATCCAGGCCTCTAATTATTAAAAATCATCTTTACATAATATTAGTTAGCATATTTTGTAGTTCAACTTTAATTTAAAATTTTCCTTTACTTATTTTAAATAGTTAGTTTACATACACAAAGTATTGTGTTTTGAATAAATAATAACTATTCTAGTTTTAAGCCACAAACATTCAACCCATAATTACCTTTTATTAAATTTATAAAAAATAAAAATTTATAAAAGTTTTGTTTATATATCTACTAAAACTCTATGTTTAAAAGAATCCTAATTAAGCGATACCAATTTCTCTGCTCATATTTAATTTTTAAAGTTATAATTTCAATTATTTGCCATGATTTAGTTTTTTAAACCTTATGAGAATTTAATAAAAGTTTCAGGAGGATAAATTTTATTTAGTATTTAACAAAATTACCGGCTTATTTTTTGTAAGAATATATTTTTATAATGTACATTTTGAAAATAGTTAATCACTATATTTTTTTTCTAATATACATTCATCTTTCTTGAGTCCATCGTCCCTCTAATAGTTTTCTCACGGTTTTGCATATATGATTTCCATCAATCTTATGTTTCTTTCTCTATCGGACTTTTATATTTTAGCTTTCGATGTATTCAAGTGCATGTTCTTGTTCCTTTTCAGGTTAAGAAATCTTTTTGATTTACATAAATAAATATATCTAATATATGTCACTTAAGTTTGGTGAAATTTTGCTAAGCTGTCAAAGCTTTAGATTCCCTTGTCTTATTTGTCTCTGTCCCAGTTTTTCCCGTCTTTTGATAATTAATTTTCGTGGATGTTAGTGTGTCGGATATCTTACGTTATGTAATCATATATGTATATATTCTAATATTTTAATCTTTGCACTACAGGCAGACAAATCAACAATTGTAGACGAAGCAGTGAGCTCCATAAAATCCCTTGAACAAACTTTACATAATCTCCAAATGAAAAAGCTCGAGAAACTTCAATATTCATCTGCTTCAAACACAAATACTTCTCCTACAACTCTGCTTACACCAATATCAAACCATTCCCAGATCCTTCCCCTAGGTGCTGCTCCAGCAGACTGTTACTCTCGTGAAGCATTCTTGGCCGATCAGATATCTTCTTCCATCACAAACCTGCCTTACCCTTGTAATGACCCAACCGCGGCTTTCGATATTTGGTCCTCACGTAACGTCGTGCTGAATATCTGTGGGAATGAAGCTTTCTTCAATATTTGCTGCCCTAAAGACAAATCAGGGGTTTTCACCAATGTTTGTTACTTGTTTGAGAAGTACAACATCGAAGTTCTGTTTGCTAATGTCTCCTCTAATGTTTACCGGAGTACCTACGTGATCCAGACACAGGTATAATATTACATATATCATTTATTTTTTCGTATGATATATGGTGGTATTTCGTTATTTAAGATGGTTTGATTTGTATTGAAACAGGTGAATCCGAGTTATGAGAATCAGTTATTGGAAGATGGATTTGGAGTTGGGGATATTTTCAAGCAAGCTGCTAATGAATTGGTCTCATATTTTTCATCTCCTTGAAAAATAATGGCTGCTTCGGGTTGAATTTATTTTCAGGCCAGTATGAATCTTTCAGGGTTTGTTTTTAGCAAAGTCCCGGCTTTTTATCGATGTGCATGCAGAGATAATTTTGGACTTTGCACTTTAGAAACCATTATCAAAAGAAAAGAATAAGGGAAGAGATAGCTTGTTCGAACATTGTTGTCTAGTGTCTTTTTTCGATAATTTTATTTTGTTTGATCAGTGTATTGGCAAGTACTGTCCTACGGGATGTTAAAGTGCAATTTTCTTTTTGAGGGTTTAATTTCTTTCTCTCTTAACGTCTGTCTAGATGCATTAGCAAAAAAAAAAATATATCTACCCATAGTTTGCCAAACATCTTTTAACAAGAGAAAGTAGCAAACAACGTCCAGTACGTGTTTCCTGTCAAACCAAAAGCAATGAGACGTAGATAAAACGTAAACAAAAAGATATAAAACAAAAACTTCATTTAAAAGTCATTTGAACACAATCATAATTACTCAATATCAAAGTGTTGAAATTCGTCATTGACGGATTCCAAATCTACCCAAAACGTACATAAAAAACATCGGTTATGCTACAATTTTTTTTTTTTCTTCACCAAAAACTTTAATTTTTTCTCTCTCACAAAAAAAACACTTTATTTATTTATTCCTATTTCTTGGTCCTTTTTTTTTTCTATAACACCATTTAGAATTTACACAATCTTGACCAAGATATATCACAACATTTTTCGGCTTGTTAGAACTCAATTTTAATACATAGTGCATCTATACTTTTCGAGAAATTTTCCGAGTTTTTTTTTAAAGGGAATTTGCACTACATAACTATAGAAACAATTTATATTAGCTATATGGAAAACTACTGTTACATTTTCAATAATTCCCCCGATACCCCTATACCTATGTTACAAATGCATCTTACAAAAAATATGACCTTATCCGTATTGTGACAATCTACGGGGGAAAGTGATCGGAGTCTCTAACGGCGATAGTTGGCGAACTCGGGAGGGAATCCATGGAGAGACAGCAGAGCATCCCTTACGCTCTACATTCGGCGGAGGTTGGTTTAAGAAGTTCGGAGTAAGGATCTCCGCCGTCTACGGTGAGGTTTTTACAGTCCGGAGATTTCGAGTCACCGTCATAGCGTTTCCTTTTGAGGGATTTATTACTCATGTTGTTTGAGCGTGGTGGTATAACATTTGGATCGGTTTACTACGAAAAATACAGGCTGTGAATACCATAGTTAAATCTAAAATATCATGATCTAATAAATCATTTGATTGCAACAGGATTGTTACGATGTGGTAAGAGTTGTAGGTTGAGATGATTAATTACCTTTTTTCTTTCTTTCTCGGAAAAAACTTATCAAAAAATTTCGAATAATAGAAAAAGAGTCATCATCTGTTAAGAAAATTGTGACACCCGATTCTTCCAAAAACAATATAATTAATAATTATTACTGAAAACATCAGATTTATTAATAATACTTAAAAGTCGACATAAACCGTGCCACATAAGTCCAAAACATAAAACGGCCCAAGGCCCAATACATAACATCCGTAATAACGTCAACAACATAAACCGAAAGTCTGAAATAACATAAGCGATAAAAGTCCAAGGCTTATAAGCCCAATACGATAAAATACGATAAAATACGATAAGATAAGATAGAATACTATAGAAGCCCAAAAGCCCAATAGCACCGGTCCGATATGGTCACTCCTGCTGATCGGTCTCACCTGCAAGGGGAAGAAAAAGGGGTGAGCAACAGGGGAGTCGTTCAGTGAGGTATGTGATGCTACCCCGAAGTCCGTAGACCCGGACATAGCACTCCAAATAAATATATATTAGATCTAATATGTCCAAACACGGTACCTAAAGTACCCAAGCAAAACAAACAATGGTCCTAGCGAGGTGCACACCCGCTGCCCACTAACGGGCCAAAAACACTGCCCACATCTTTGCTACAACAACTCGAGATAGTGCTCGGACACCGCCCGTAGACGATTTATCGACACCACCAGGTTACGGCTCAACCGGTCGACTATAGTTGGCCGCAACCTTCACACAATCCGGCATACGTTAGCACCACCACGCTGTGTATCCGGCTCACACCATTATAACTACGAATTTACATTAAGTGAAGCAAACAATGTTGAATCNCCACCAGGTTACGGCTCAACCGGTCGACTATAGTTGGCCGCAACCTTCACACAATCCGGCATACGTTAGCACCACCACGCTGTGTATCCGGCTCACACCATTATAACTACGAATTTACATTAAGTGAAGCAAACAATGTTGAATCCTCTAACCACCTAGTTCCGGTTTAAGCAAGCAACCTAAAACTAATCAAGCAATGCCAGACTCGATTTCACGCAGACGGAACACAATAGAAATAAATTATATTTATTTAAAATTCTAAGTCGCGTACGAATCGTTCGGAAGTAGACCCTCACCTTAGCAACTGGGGAAATGTGGTATCTATGAACTCCAGCTGCTCAAATAGATCCCAAATCTGAAATCAGATCGAAATTCCGAGTCAGATTGACCTTCGAACGGTTGAAAACGGACAATTTCGGAAAAGTCAACTCGCAGGTCAAAGGTCAACCTTGACCCATGCCGGTCAACCCTTGACCAAATTGAAATCGAATTGGACCAATCGGTTTTCCTTAACCGAATTCGATTTCAATTGAACCAAAACCAAATCAATTTCAATTTGGTTTATCCTTAACCGATTTCAAATCAATTTTAACCGCCGGTTTAAGTAAACCAACAACTAACCGATTTTGACCAGCCTAAACCGGTTGACCGAGTCAACGGTTGACTCGCCGAGTCAACTCGGCCGAGTTGACCGAGTCGCCGGCGAGTCACCGGACTCCGGTCACCGGTCCGGCGAAAAATGTGGCGGCTTACCGGCGGTCACCGGCGACGGACGGACGGCGGAGGTGCGGTGTCTCCGGCGAGGCGACGGCGGCGCGTGCGGTGGCTCCGGCGAGGCTCCGGCGGCGCGTGTGTTTCACGCGCGCGCGGAGGACGATCTTCGACGGGCGCGTGACGGCGGCTCCGGCGTCGGATCTCGGCGTTTTCGGGGTCTACGGCTTCGTCTCGACGAGTAGAACACGATGGTGGCCTTGCATGCAACAGATTCTCAACGGTTAGGAAGTTATGGTCGATTTACTAAACGGATAAAACTAACTTAAAGCTCATGGTTCCAAGGGGGTTTCGCGGTGGTTACCTAGGCCGGGGGTCGGCGGTGACGAGCTGGACAGGTACTCTGGACGTGGTGGCTCCGGCGACAAGCTCAGGCGACTCTCTCTCTACAAAACCAATCACTCTCTCAACTCTCTCTCTAAAACTCATCTTTCACTTGCATGAAATGAAATATTGGGGAAGAAAATAGGTTTTATATGGGATACCTTGGGCCAAAATGATTGGGCTTAGGTAATGGACTGGGAATTGTGTATTGGGTGAGTTTGGATCATGACAAAAATTTTAATATTTTTTCAGATGGTCATTGATTGCTGGAAGATAATCAGGAAGAATAGATAACGTCGATGACTCATCCGCAAACGGTGACGTCTCAATTATCGACCAGTGTTATTGTTTCACCGCATAAATACGTTGTTGTACCTCGTTCTTCCTTCCCCAGAGATTAATAACTTGTTCTTCACCGGAGGTAGCGATTTGCCGGAGATCAGTTTGCAGTTGATTTGACACTGAGGGTTAATTTCGGCAAACCATACTCATTAAATAACCAACTCTGCAAATACTTTCAAAAACTGCATACATCTGCAATTACCTACTACTATTTGTATATTCACCTAAATGAGCCTTTTTTTAAACTGACAGGATTACTGCAGGGAAATATATTCATATGGAAAAAATTAAAATGTGTGTTTGAATGAAAAAATATTTATCCTTCCGAAATGGACAAAATAGACATATTGACACTGTGAAAAAATTCTAATAAAGTTGAAGACCTTAGGAAACTATATACTATATAAAATTTGATGATATAAGCCATGGAAGGCATCCACATATGATTTAAAATCACTAATAAAATTATGAAAAAATTCATCATTTTTACGATTTTTACAAATATCAATATTTTCAAAATATATTTATTTCAAAATAAATAGAAACTAATATTAAACAAGGTATACTAGCTAACATAAAAACATTATATATAAGTTAATATCTATAATTAATTTCGAAATGAAACATAAAATAGTTATCAAATATAATAACTAGTACAAAAATTGAACATTATCTAAATAATTCTAATAATATAAATTTAAAACACATGATTTAATGTTTATACCATATGCTATATATTAAAATATTCATAAATAGCATATACTATATGTAATCTGAGACACTAAATCGTTGAGAATATTCAGATATTGATTTTTTGAACACCATCCCAATATTAATTAGAACATCAAAAAATGTCAAATCACCATAATATTTAATAATTAAATTATTAGAATTTCCAAAAAATGTTTCTTTCAAAATAAAATGCAAGCCAATACTAAATTTAGCAAAAAATAAATAAAATGATTAAAATGAATCAATTCGATAGGTAAACTGATTTTTGGAAGATTAAAATAAAATTAACTAACAAAAAAATCTTAAAGAATACAAGAAGTTTAATAATAAATAAATATGAATCTAAAAGAAATATTATTTTAAAAATTGAAGCTATATATCATTTAAACTTTTAACCTAGAATACTAATATACCTAATATGATTTTTTTTAAATAACAAAGTTTTAGAAAATTATTTCTCTGGAAATAAAATGAAGGTTAAATAGGGTGAAAAATATTTTATCAAAATAATTGACTTGATATATAAATTGAATATTTGAAATTACATTTTTTTAAGGACATAACTTTGAAAGAATCATATGAGTATAAAAATATAAACTAAAATGGTCAAAATAAATTCCACACTAAAAATCTAAAAACAATCTTAAAAATTAATTTATAAATAAA